TCACTTTGAGCCTGGTCTTGGGCTGTAAGTGTCCTTTGGATAAGGAACTTAGTATTAGTGACTCTTTGAGTCGAACGTCTTCCTCTGACGCTAAAGCTACGGCAGCCCCGCTGCACTGCAGGTTCTCCTGCACATGCGCGATGAGGCCCTGCTCGTACGCGTCGAACGCATTGACGCGCTCGAGCTGCTCGGCCGGTGTTGACACCACCAGGCTCTACAAGGCCTCCATCCCGAAGATGCCTGCCATCTTCCGAACCGACTCGAACTGAGAGTCGTTCATATGGGAGAAGTCGTTCCTGTCCATGGCAACGAACTTCGGAGAGGTTCAGGTAGTCTACCTGCGGTGGCGTGGATTGACTACGAGTGCTACCAAGTGTGACGGGGTCACACAGCACCTTGCGCTAGAGGAAGTTAGCTTCCGAGAGTTTACAAACTCTCAGTGAACGGCAGTTCACAGGTCCCCTCTTTATTCAAAAGAGAGCGAAGTGACCTAAATTGTAAACTGAGTATATTTATAGGTAGGTTAAGTTTGGGTTTAATACAAACTATAAGTCACCTATAGAAATGCAATGTCATCAACCAATGGTTGGCTTTGGACGACCTTGGTACTTTGTACCAAATATCCCGAAGTATGACGTGTCACACTTCATGCAACCAGGGTACACTTAGGGCTACGTACCCCGTTACAGTTTGGCTGCTGGGGGTTGGTAAAACTCAGAATAAAGAGAGCCGACCAAGTAAGGTGAGACTCTAGGACGAGAACGTTATAAACCCTTGCGTAGACTGCGGTCTACGCAAGGGTTTATAACGTTCTCGTGGCGTTCGCTCTCGTGGTGAAAGTTGTCTACTTTCTGGCCTGTTTCTCAATGTGTCTTGGCCTACTATAGCTCGCACGCTTTGGACGAGGTCACTCTGGAGCTTGTAGTGATCCGCTACAATCAACACAGAATCGTATTGAAGCCAGGCTGCATCGCGATCGCAGAGATGCTCGAGTTCGACTGCAAAGTTGTAATGTGCCACGAGTAATAACTGAGCAACCTCGATGCTGAGGTTGCGTGGACCCCCACCAGTTGAGAGATGAGCCACTGCGGCTTTGGCATGTGCAGCGGCTGCAGCGTGGCGGCGCAGTTGTGAGAGTACAGCGCATAAATTGAGTCGAGTGAGAGCGATTTCGGACGCTGGAATGGCGAATTCGGCTCTTTGCAACTTGAGCTGCACCTTTAGCGCTCTTTCGAGAAAGCTGACGGCGGCAAGTGGCTTACCAATGTGTTTCGCATGACACGCAAGATTGTTGAGTGTGATGAGGCGGAACACTCGTCATCGATTCCCATGCTGAGACTCTGGTAGGCTGCGCAAGTAGCCTGTGTGACGAGTGTGCTGCTCTGCGCGCAGGAGAAGGTCGTGGCATTGTTTAGATGTGATAGTATCGTCTGATGAGGATGTCTGTAAGGCCTTTATTGCAAGTGTATTGCTCAGGAGCAGAAATTCTTCGCATCCTTGCTGGAAATGCAGCGAGTCGGCGCCGAAATGCTTCTTGTGGTAAAAGATGAGCCGTTCTGCGTCATCGAGAGCACGGTAGACTGCAATGAAAGATGATTGAGAATCAGCATCTAGGACTCGGGCGTGGACAAGAGCTGCAGCGAGTGCAACTACAACTTCTTGCTCTGTCATTAGGGGGCAGGAGAGGGTTCCGTGTGGTGTACCTTCCAAGCTGTTCCGAAGATAAATGGGCAGGCGTTGGTGCGCAGCTATTTAAAAAGTAGTAGAAATTGATGCCAAACAGCTCTCAGTGCTTAACCGACGACTGCTGGCAACGAATAACACAATGTCTGAAAGCGTGGGCGCCCTGCAGCGCTTGAAGAAGCTTGGCTTCCAGCATGGGCGATACCAAAGGTGCAGCGTTGTTGATCCAAGTACCCAGGTGAGTTTTCACAAGTGCTAACAGTTTTGCTTGCTGAATGAATAGCAAATTCCAAGTACGCTATGAACCGAAAACTCTAGCAACGAAAAGAATCCGTCGTGGGGCTCCCTGGGAATCAACGTTTCTGCGAAAATCTAAAGGTGAAAAGAGGGTGAGCTCTCTTGAAAGCGTTCAAATATCGTGGGAATATCTAACCAGCTTTGATTTTTCTATCTACTACAGGAAATTATCTCGAGACCGTGGGAGTATCCGATGGCAGCTCAAAACCTTTCCGTTATTCTCATCCAGAAGCGCGTGCGAGGTATGCTCTGTCGAGGACGGCAACAAGTCACCATGAGCAGGAATGCTGCTCGCGCTCGCAGTCCAATGCAGCAGTTCGTCGCAAAAGGGGGGAGTTTCTCCGATGAGCGTGGCTTTCGCATTTTTGTCGTCACAAAACTTCAAGCTTGGTTTCGGATGCAGCGACTGCGTTGGAGAGGAACACTGGAGAGGTATCCACTCTACCACATTGCTGCGCTTCAGATTCAGTACGCGTGGAAGACGCACTGCCAACACAAACTGTACCAACGACAATCTGGCGACCCCGACTCGGCGATGACACGTGTAGATTGCGCTGCGCTATGCATCCAGACCAACTGGAAGATCTACACACATCGACGTATTTTTAGGTACTACCGTGATCTCCTTACATTCCGCAGTACTGGGGACCCCGCACGAATGTTGCGGGCTATCAACCCTTCGGAAGCGTCTCTGTTGGATGCATCCATGGGCGCACAGGTTCGATTTCGTCTCGGTGGCTTAGCATTCCCGCCCACTATCTACTACAAGATCTACACGCGCAAACCCGTGTGCGATCTGGGTAGCTTTAGCCCTAAGAACTACACAGTGGCTCGTCAAAGTGCCCCAGTGAGTCACTCACACGTCAAGTGCCAACCAGGCCAGTCCGTGCACACAACTTACATCCGAGTGGGCAACTCGTACTACAGAGCACGACAGCAATCAGAAGATACTCGATTATGGTACCGCCGTCTCGAGAACAATGGCTGGCGTTCGGTGACAGCCAAGGTGCTGGCTGAAGCCAACGCTGATCCTATCGCTCAAGCCACGGCCACTCGTCAACCTATTAACGGATTTCACTACTCGAAGCTTGTGCGACAACAAGATCGCGAGCGAGTTCGTCGGCATAAGAAGCGACTGTGGATGCAGAAGCTGTATGCAGAAGGGTTGCTAACTGCAGCGGGTCGTCCAGAGAAGGACGAGGAGGATCAAACGGACACACAGCCACCGATGCTTTTCGATGTGGTCTTTGAGGACGAGAATTGGGAAGCCGAAGCCGAGGAGATGTTCCGGTGGGCCTCTGCGCTGGACTACGACAAGTACGTGGATAATTGGTACGGGCTAGGTCGGACGGCAGCTACAGACGACGACCTGGCTTAATAAGATGGCTGCATACAGAGCGTTTTAAGAAGCGCATTTTGTTCACAGAATTCTTCTTTTCAAAATAAAACTTGGCGTGTAGGCAACTTGTTTTACCGGTGTGTTAGGAAAGCGCTTTGTTTTAACCATTACTCCGGAAAACACTTTATTTGTTTTAAACTTTTAGAAAGTACTTCGTAAAAAAAACGTTTCTGCGTTCTTAGAAAAAATAAATCAAAAGAAAAGTACTTTAAGGGCCAATTGTTAATAACTTTGTCGAGATGCTACGCCTACAGCTTCGATTGCGCTCGCCCCCTGGCCATCTACGAAGCCTCCAGTACTCGGCGGTCGCGGCTTCAGCTTCACCGACATCTTCTTCCACTATCTCCAATTATGTGCGCTCGGATTCGAGCCCTGGCGCTGGCGGTAATGGGGAGGAGCCGCCCAAGTACAAACCTGGCTGGTTCAGTCGCAATCCAGGCGTGACACGAACGCTTTGCAACATGAAATATCGGCTCTTATTCAATTTTCAGCATCAGCTTATATTGGCTGTTGAACGATTTGGAGTTCAAGACTCGCACATTCAAGAATTTATTTCTCGATCGGATGAACTTCAGCAGGATCTGTCACGTGGAGTACCGTGGAGTATATTTCGTGCATTTATTTTACAAGTGCACATAGCAGGCTCTCGTTTGTCAATGTGTGACATTGAGATGAACCGACACTGTTCTGGTCATCGTGGTATTTTAGCTATTACTAGATTACAGCTAGAGGACGGTATCTATTTGGTTGCAGCTAGTAATACTAGGACAGTAGGACATGCATTTGTCCTTCAGGTCCGTGGTACCCAGAAGACCGTCTATGACGACACTACTAATTGCTCATTGGCTTCCTACGGTGAATGGATCAATAGGGTTATGTTTGTTCGTAAAGTAGAATTAGATGAATAGTGTTTTAACAAATATGTTTTTTTTCAAAGTTCAGCTTTTATTACAGTATCATTGTCAAGTAGTATCTTCTTTAAAATGTACTTTAGTAATATTCACTTTA